GTATAACCCCTGCTTTCACTGTATTTGATGTCGGTATAATTTGTGGAGGGGAAGGGAAAAACAAATCGTTTAAATAGGGATACAGGTGGACCCATTGCAACAATGAGATGTACAAGTCCTTATGTCGAAAACCGAACTTCACAAGTTTGGTGGGGGGGTCGGGTGGGGGGAGCGGGGAGGATTGGGTTGGGGGGGCTGGGGGAGGATGGGAAGGGATGGGAGGAGGCTACAATGCTTGATAAGAAATGTACTCATTATCTTGCCCATGTAATTGTAACCCCTCTGTACAGTATTTTCACAATAAAAAAAAAGAAAAGAGAAGACTGCATTAAGACTGAGTCCTTAGTGAGGAGTTTTCCTCAGTTAAGGGTTTTTGTTTTCAGACAACCCCCTAGGAGAAGTGTATGCTGGGTAGTTTGTTACTAAATTCCCCAGAGGACAATTGTCCAGATAATGCTGACATCCTGCGTAGCTTGCAAATAGCTTTCAAGAACTGGTTAACATCTCTGCCCTTAAAAAAATTCAAAGAACATGAAATAGGCTTGGAATTCTATATAACAAGTATCAGAGGTGTGATAAAACCTTGCAATATATAGCCTGGAGGAATGAGGAGTACCTTGGAAGATTACCAATCATAATTTATTGTGCCAAGCAGAAGTGCCTTCACATTACCTACATTTGCACATAGTGACGTCTGGCCCTGTTTCTGAAATATGCAGTGACTGCTGTCTTAGTAAGGTGCTTATGGAGCCTGACTGGTGATGACATAACAGGGCAGAGGGTAGTCTGGGCCTCTGAGCCCACCTCATAGCCACAACCACAAAGTAGGCTTCTGTTGGACTGCTGACTCCTTATTTCCTACTGGCCCTGTTATGGATCTTGCTAGAAGTAGCATCAGCTAGAAGAACTGCCCATTTATGTGCAGAAATGTTACCTTACTTAATGGAAATCATTTGCAGAATCTGCTGTAGCTGAAGAAATATGGTAACTGTTAGTTTTTGCATTACTGTGTATCTCATATCCTTTTTTGTAATATGACATAATTTTATAAAATCATTGCCATACCTTTACAAGGTAGATTTTTTTTGTAACCACTTTGTAGACAAGACAATTTCAGTCAAGAGCATGAAGTTGATTGCTTGTGTCTGGAATTCCAAGTCATGCCCATTTATGACTCAAAAACTGTGTTGTCCCACTAGAGACAGGAAGAGGGTCCACACATTTTTGTCCAAAGGGCCAGACAGTAAATATTTAGACTTGATGGAGCAAACAGTCTGTGACAACTACTCAACTCTGCCACTGTACCAAAAAAGTGATCATAAATTGTTGGAGAATAAAAGGGCCCTGGCTGGATTCCAATTATAAAAACAAAACACTTTATATTAACCAGACAATCAATAGACTGAATTGGCTTTGGTCCATGTTTCAAGCATATAATTTTGGCCTTTTTAAACGTCCACTGATTTGAAAAATCTGTGTTTTTGTTTTCTTGTTTGTAAAACTTATTTAGCTTCCCCCTTTTAAAATGTAAGTTGCTTATCTTAGGAGAAATCTCTACTTCTAAGGAAAAAAGCCAGGACACAATTTTGTAAACAAAACCAACGGGAAGCTTTTTACTTTTTATAAACATACAACTTGGAGGTGAGGGTGGGAGGGTGGTAGTTGTGGAGGTGGGAAGGAAGGGATGGTAGGGGGAAAACAAAGGAGGAGGCAACAATGCTCAATAGGAAATGTACTGATTACCTCGCTCATGTAACTGTAACCCCTCTGTACAGCATTTTTACAATTAAAAAAACATAGAACAAATTCTCTAGCCTCTCTTTGAGCATGTTGAAGTTCTAATACAGAAGAAGGGTTTTGCCTATTTATGTAGTTTGTTAACCAGGTATGAGAAGACTTGAAAGGCTTAGAACAGATGCATCAAGATTAATTACCAACTGAAGAACAAGCAAAAATAATGGCAACAAATATCTGAAATGATCAAAGCATGATGTGATTTGTCAATTAAACTTTTATGCCTGCTAACCAAAGAACAAAGTTTTCATTGTATGAAGATATATATTTTTGTGATTATAATTCTTAAAAATGATTTTTTAAAATAATCTCAAACCTGGGTTTGAGAGTAGAGGGATAAAGGTGTACAGGTCTTTTGCCAGTCCTGTTTGATATTCAGTTTCATTGCTGGCCTTGACTTAATGTGGTTCTTGGCTGCCTCTGAAACAGCTTTGCTCTGCAGTTGTGGTTTTGTCTTTGGGTACCACCTAGTATTACATAGTTTACTTGCTTCCCTTGTAAAAAGAGAATTTTAAGCTGTTTTCAAGTGGTGACTTCATATAGATTTTTTTCCTGTAATTTTTTTTATGAGTTTGTTTCAAAGCTAAGTCAAATTCATTTGTTTTGTTTCACTTTTGTTACTGACTTGTCTTACCTTCTTGTGGTTCTTCTATTGTTGATTAAAATTATTTAGGTCAGAATAAATTCAATTTTTACTAATGTTTTATTTATTTTGTTGGTGGTGGTGGTGCCAGGACTTGAACTCAGGGCTTCACACTTGCTTTCCTGTCTTACTCATGGTGGGTACTCTACCACTTGAGCAGTGTTTTCAGTTTATCATTTTTCTGGTTGGTTGGAGATGGAATCTCACATTTCTGCCTGGTCTGCCTTTGAACTTCTGTCCCCCAGAGCCCAGCCTCCTGAGTAGCTAATATTATAGGCATGAGCCCCTGGTGCCACAAAATGTTGTATTTTGTAAATCCATTTTATTCTGATTTTTAGCAGGAGACAATTTGGAAGTTCTCCTTTCTGAGAAAAAAAACTGATTCTGGCTCTTGACTTGTAGAAAAGGGGTAGATGGGTCCTGGAAGCATGTACACACAAGAAGAGGGAGGTGGCATCCCAGGGCACCCCTTGTGTGAGCAACGACCCTGCCGTGGGTTACCACTCTGCTTACTACAGACAGTGTGTTGTGTGTGTCATTGCATAATGAGTGTTTTCTGTTTTTTAAAAATTAACTTGCAAGTAGTTGTACAAAGAGGTTTCAATTCAAAATGTCAGTTTTTTAGTACAATTCATCCTGATTATTGTCACCACCACTTCCATCATTCTTACACATCTTGCCCAACCCTACCCATCACCTCTAACTACTTGGTTCTAAAGCGCATTTTTTGGCCATTGGGGAAGAGTGTAGCCTGAGGTGGCAGGGTGACTTCCTCAGCTTGCTCACATCCACCATGCATGGGAATTGTAATACTGGGAACCCCTCTGTCTACAGATTCCAGCTAATCTTTGACCTCTGGGGAAGAATGGCAGAGGCCAGATGACCTAATGGATATTTGGAGTCAGATCACACATAAGCTGTGGTCTATAAACTTCCTTGCTGTCCATAGGAATTTCAACCATATGAGACCTCGTGCCAACTCACTTCCCTGAAAATTATAAAAATAGTTGAGCAGGCTTACAGAATTTTAATCTGAAGCAACAGAGAGAACTTGGTTTACCTTTGAATTTCATAATCATTTTTCTTAACACTTTTGTCCCCTTTTCTTTGTATCCTAAGTCATATAGCTCTTTGATGATATACTTTAGAGAGTGACTTAAGATGCTTAGCTGTGCTCTGATGTGCTCTTTGTCTTCTGGCAGCTCCTTGTTCTGCTATGGCTTACCATCATGATAGCAGGAGGATATTTGTTGGCCAGGATAATGGAGCTGTAATGGTAGGTACGGTTCATGATCTCTATATCAACAGCTTTGTGTTGGGCAGTTTATAATAAAGTTATTGCGATAAATGCCTGATTGTTTGACAAGAGAAGTGTTTCAGTATAAATTAAACACTCCTGGTGACCACCAATCCCAGTACTTAAAAAAAAAAAGACAAGTTAATGTTTTTAGCCTTGGTCAATAGAATTCTTACCTTCTTTATAGTTTTGTTTTGTCTTAAAGCTTTTTAAAATTAAAGCATGTACTTTTTTCCTGGTTACAAAGCATAGTGCCTTTAGAACATTTAACAAGAAAGCAAAATCAACAAAACTTGCAATTGAGGAGGGAGAAGCTCACAAATGCGGTGCCAGTCACAGCAGTGTCTTTGATCCACTCTGTGGTGGCCCAAAGACTTGGTGCGATGAAAGAAAAAATAGCTCATTTTGAGCCCTGGATCTGTGACAAGTGTTTTTGGACTTCACTCATTTTGAAAGTTGTTCTAAAAATCATAACTGTTTTCTTACTGCATATGCTTACTTTTAGGAGTTTCATGTTTCTGAAGATTTTAATAAAATGAACTTTATCAAGACCTACCCAGGTAATTATGACACAAACACAACACTCTTACACATGCCCACATATATATACAAACACAAGAAAAACCTAGAACATCTCTCATGATTTGAATTGAGTTTTCATGATAACACTTTAGTTTCCTTACCCCAGAGACTAAAATTAGTTACCATTTTTTCCTGCTCATTAACACTTAATGGGTATGTGTTTGAGAATTAATTAAACCATTCTTCTATCCTGAACATGTGTACTTCTTCCATGTATTTTGATAACACATGCACTACTATATTCATCATGTATGCGTGCTGGCATGTATGTACATCTGTGTTTTTATATACATGTATCTTTGTGTGAGTATAATGTAAAGTGATGTGTGTAAATGTGTGTGTATGTATGCTTAACTATTCTTGAACTCCGTTCTATAATTCTGATTACTTAGTTTTTTTTAAGACAAATGCCTCTCAGTAGAATAATTGGACCAACATTAAAAGAGTTTTAATTCTCTTGATCTGTTTTGCAAATTTCTTCCCAAAAGTAGTATAAATTATCACTCTCTGAAGAATAGGGCTGAATGTACCTGCTCTTTACATTTTATGGCTACTTTTAGGTTTTTTTTTTTTTTTGCCAGTTTGATAAGCTAAGTTCTTCATTTAAGCATTACTTAAGCTTTAACATTGGCTATTTTGTTGCCTTTCAGCCTTCTCAGCCTGTGCCCTAATTTCCAAAGAGTTGTCATTTCCTAATTGAATTTCCTTTGCTTTGCAACATCTGTTGCATATGCATTTATTTACCCCTCTTTTTTTCTCTGCCTTTTAAATTGAACAAAAACTAGGTCTGATTGAAAACGGCAGAGGCTTAGCCTCAGACTTTGTGTTTCAGGCCTGTGGATAAAGGTGAAATTAGAGTCTAGATATTTTAAGTGTATGCTTGTCTTAGCAAATTGTAGTCTAACAATTACTCAATATTGTTTCACCTGTTTGGAATTTCAGTAGGATAAGAGTTACAAATAAAGACTGTACACTTTAGCTTGGTATTTTGGTTGTAGAAACTGCTTTGTGATAGTGAGTGGCAACCTTGCATTTTTGAATATTGTGCCACACTGCAGAGTTACACAACACAGATGACACTGGATTCTCAGCTGTCACCAGCAGGCTTACCTGTAACAAGATCAAGTCTCTTAAGTCTTTTATGAAATTCACACTGAGGAATTTGGAGAGTTCTTATGAGCTTAATCAGTGTTTTTGCCAAGAAGCAAATTCTTTAATAAGGTATTTCATCTGTCATTAAGTTTTTTTTTATCCAGTTCTTCCTTACATGTCTTATATTATTAGATCTATAGTTTGGTTGTTAGAATGTTTCATGAGCTGAAGGGCAGTGTGATTTTTTTGTAGTGGTTTCTCGACCAAAGAACATTTTAAAAACCATATTGAAGACTAATAGAAGCATTGCCAAATGTTTTTATTTTGTTGACTAAGACTTCAAAAAAGAAAATGTAGCAAAATATGCATTACCAAATTTCCCCATAATTTCATGAAAGAAAGAACATTGAAAGAACAACAGTGTATGCAGCCAAAGGATATAATCTCAGGGCAGTGTTTCCTGAGACCTGTAATTGTGTGTTCACTCTAGGATCTTTACCACCAACAGGTGTAGACTTGTCCCTGTTTATCTTGACTTTGACAGCTGAAATTTAGTGGGAAAGTGATTGGGGTCAGACAAACCCAAACTAATCCATTAGTCTTTAGGCAAAGACTTGATAATCCTCTCTGGCAATGGGCATAATAATGATGGTGGACATTAGAAACATTATTACAGTAGAAAAACCCATGGATGTCCACATAAGCCACTAAGTCATTAGCTGGGACTTGGTGTTAGGAAAGTGGAAGAGAAAGGAAGGAACAGGCCATATTCCATCACAATAGACTGGGACTGTTTATTGCCAGCAAGGGACACAGACCTTCGCACAGACATGGAAGTTTGTGTAAAGAGATGGGCTCAAGAATGGGGTTTTATCAGGGAGGCAGAGGTTAATGAAAAAGCCACTAGGTCAAGGGAGGTGGAAGGCTTTTTGGTTGGGCCCATGATGAAATATTTACAGCCAGGCTTAGATGGCATTAGGTAGTCTGCACTTACTGCCTGTCTGGTGTCTATATGCACTTAGGAAAAAAGGATGGGTGTTAATCCTTCACTTGGTATTTGAGCATAAGATCACTAGCTATGGGAATACTCTTTACCTTTGAGGGGCCTTTGGGGGTATTGTTTAGCATGACCTCTTAGCTGTGAATAGACTTGACTTGCCACACAGGTATTTGGAGGAGGGTCCCTTAGTTCTTCCAAAGCAAATTGTACACCTGAGCACAAAGTCAGCATCTTCTCTGTGTAGTCTCAGACTTCATGCATTTATTAAACATCTGTTACATGCAAAGCCTTCTACCAAATGAAGTAAAAGTCAAGTCCTTGCCCTGGTGTGGCTCATAATAACCTGGAAATACTTCACAAGTTAGAATAACTTTTTCTTCAGCTGACTTTCTCTTCAGCTGGTACTTTGGATTAGCAAAACATCACAAATACTTTGTATAAATAACAAAATGTTACATATAAGCTGGTAACTAACTGTGCTTAAAATCCTAACTACTCAGAAGGATGAGTAAGAGGATCATGGTTCAAAACTAGCCCAGGCAGACAAATCCAAGAGACTCTTATCTCCAATTACCTAGCAAAAAGCTGGAGGTGGAGGCATGGCTCAAGTGATGAGTACCAGGCTTGATTGTAAAAGTTAAGCAAGAGTGTGAGGCCTGAGTTCAAGCCTCAATATCGGCAGGCGGGGATACATACAAACAAAAAATATTCAAGAAATCAAATAAAGCCCCGTTTTAAATTTTAAATAGTTCAGTTATTCTTCTTTACCATGGTAATGTTTTCTAAAGGATCAAAACACTGAAGTAATACAATAAAAATTGCTGTGTTAAAACTACTGCTTTCCACATGAAACTAATCAGTAAAAGTGTTTCCAGCAAAGTAAAAATGTGCTCTTGAGCACAGCAACAAAATAAATCTGCTTTCTGTTATTCATCTCCTTCCTGAGCATTGCTTTTTAATAATCATGTGACTTTTGATGGCCTTTCCTGTGGGACCACAGTGGGCAGGCCTTGGGAAGAGACTGCCCTAGTGTGTTGGGGGTGGGTCAGATTGTCTGAAATCTGCTGGGGGAGTGGGGAAACAGCATTTCCCTGAGGTGCTGTTGAGACTCGCACAGGTAGAGAAGTTGGGCCTTAGTCCTTACCCCTTTGAGAAGTGTTTCTGAAAATCACTGTTGTTCCTGAAGGGCACAGCCTCTCTTCTGTCTTCTGCAGCTCATCAGAACCGGGTGTCTGCTATCATCTTCAGCTTGGCTGCAGAGTGGGTGATCAGCACCGGCCATGACAAGTGCGTCAGCTGGATGTGCACGCGGAGCGGGAACATGCTGGGGCGGCATTTCTTCAGCTCCTGGGCTTCATGTCTACAGTATCCTGCAACATACCCTCATTTCCTCAGTATTTAGTTTGAGATGATCTCTTGTTGAAATTCAAAAAGCAAAGGATTGCTACATATTCCATTTAAAATGGAAGAATTTCTACATTCACCTTCAGTGTAAGATAGCTGTATTAAAAATAATAATTGAAGGTCAGTCAGTAGCTCATGCCTTAATCTTAGCTACTCAGGAGGCTGAGATATAAAAATTGCAGTTCAAAGCCGTGAGACTCATACCTCCAGTTAATCACCAAAAAGCCAAAAGTAGCTCTGTGGTAGAGCCTAGCTTTGAGCAGAAAAGTTCAGAGATGGTGCATAGGCCTGAGTTCAAGCCCCAGGGCAGATAAACAAAAAATTATAATAATTAGGAAAGCCTGGGAGGTGGAGGTAAAAGAATAGTTCATGGAAGGGATGGGTGGGATTTAAATAGGAGAACGATGGATGGGATGATATTGATCACATTGCATTGTACTCATAAATTGATATGTTGCACTACTTGAAGATAATAAACATTAAAAAAATAATGTAGTTCTGAGGCCAGCCTATATGTAAAACTAAACCAAACATCTATGCCAAAGGACTGCTTGTGGCTCAGTGGTAGAGTTTTGCCTAGAAAGCTGGAGGCATGTGCTAACCCACATCTGCAATCCTAGTATTCAGGAAACAGGAGGATCACCAACTTGAGGCCAGCCTGGGACTATATAACCAGATTCTTGTCTCAAAAAAGAAAAATATGCTATACAGTTTAGATTCACAGGAGGAGAAATACTCACATGTTGTGTTTTAGATGAGCATTTCTGTCCTTCATGTGGTCTTTCACTAGTGATCTCTAGGACATGGCACAGAATCACAGCAGTGGCCTTTCTTGGTGCTCCTCTGCCCTGTGATTTGGAGCAATGGCTGTTATCTGACTGAACACAGAGGTTGCCCTACTGTGTTCATCCATAAGCAGGAAGTTATGAGTTGCTACCAACAGTATAGATAGATAGGTAGATGGATGGACAGACATACATACATACATACAGACAGACAGACAGATTAGATAGATAGATAGGTAGATAGGTAGATAGGTAGATAGGTAGATAGGTAGGTAGATAGATAGATAGATAGATAGATAGATAGATAGATAGATAGATAGATAGATAGGTAGATAGATAGGTAGATAGATAGGTAGATAGATAGATAGATAGATAGATAGATAGATAGATAGATAGATGATTGATAGATGATTGATAGATGATTGATAGATAGATAGATGAGTCATGGAGCTTGAACCTGAGGCTTAGGCTCTGTTCTTGAGCTGCTTTGTGCTCAAGGCTAGCACTCTACCACTTGAGTCACAGTGTCATTTTTGGCCTTTTCTGAGTAGTTCATTGAGATAAGAATCTCGACAACTTTCCTGCCCAAAGCTGGCTTTGAACTGTGGTCCTCAGATCTCAGCCTCCTGAGTAATTAGGATTACAGGTGTAAGCCACTGGCTCAGGTAATGTATTTTAAATTGAAATTTACAATGACTCCTACAAAGAACTGCCTTTTGGATTGTTAAATAAATTAAATCATTGTCTTTATTTAAAACTGAATCATCCAGGCCAACAGAAAGATGGACTCATCCTATATCTGCTGTCAGTTTAGCATTGTTCTCAGAGATGTCTGATGAAAAGCTGTTTGACCCAGTGTTTTCTTGCTAATCTCAATATTTAGCAATTTATTATGTTTAATTGTAACTTGATTTTATCTACCTGTCTTTCTAGTAGCTCTTGTTTTTCCATTGCCAGTTTTGAAGATATTATTACTTGATATATTAATGAGTTCTGAATGAATGAATGTGAACTTTCCCTGTAATTTTGGCTGGTTTAGTTTTTTCTTTCTGTATTTTGTGTGGTTTTTCTCTGAATATTTTTTTCATGCTATGGTGTTAGGTTTGTGTTTATTCTCTTTAAAATGCACTATTTTCTCTATTACAATATTGGTAATGCAGGTATCTATTTTTGTGAGGAGTTTGAGATGGAATTTGTGTATAGCCTTAACTGTTTCTCAGATTTGATTTTGATACTCAGTATGCTTTTGTTGGAGATTATTCTGGACAGATCACACTCCTGAAGCTTGAACAGAACACGTGTTCTGTTATCACAACCCTCAAAGGACATGAAGGTAAGCACTGTGGTCACCCACCAGTTTCTCATCTAACATAAGCCACTGCATTAGGTGAGAGCCATAGTTCTCAACTCCTCACAATCTGTCAGTTTTCAGTTTGACTTCAGTTTGATGGGATAGAAGAAACTAAGTAAAAGTAAGCAGGGTGTTGGCTTCAATTTCATGTTGACAAAAAGTCCTTAAATTGATTGAATGAATAATGTTTTCTGTATTATCTTCCTAAATTAATTTACTATTTTTATTAGAACATCCAAGTTTCTTGTAATGATAAGACTTCTATTGATACTACTATTACTGCTGTGTTTCAAATTGGTCAGTATCTAGAGCCTTTAGCAAGCCTGTTAAGTTACTACAATTAGAAGATTTATGTGGCTGGTTCAGGCTTATACTTAGGAAACTTATTCTAAGTAGGGACTTGGGGAAATGAATTAGCATGTAAACTTCCCTTATCTCTACAGTGCAGTGAGTTAGCAATATTGTGTGAAAGGATTGTGGCTGGATTGGATAACTTGCGTGCATATGTGTGCAATAAATCGTTTTCATAGAACACTAAGCCATTTGCAAATCAGTATTTTTTTAATTTTTGAGATCACAAGATCACATTATTAAACAAGGCACAAATTAGAAGCTTTGGGCTTTAGAGTGAAGAAGCAAACACCTGTTGAAAGAATTAATAATAGAGTATTTATGACAGTAGCTACTATTTTAAGTGTAACAAATGTATCTTGTCTATTTTAGCTAATCTCTGTAAGTAAAATAGGCTGCATCAGATCAGGGGCTTTTAGGGGAAGATGAAGAACAGAAGTAGAATAGATTTTGTGAGGAAGCAGAGGCTGAAGGGGAAAAAAAACCCACATTTTTTTTTTTAGCAGTTTTCCCATGACCTCCAGACCCTTATGTGTTCTCTGGGCTCTGGGACAGATTAGTTGTGTTCATATTGGATGACTGTGGATGCTGCCAACCTCTAGTTGAAGGAGGATGGAAGCATAGGATTAAACAATGTAATATTCATGCAAAATTGGCCCCAGAAGCTTGTTTTGAAGGGTTCTTCATTCTCTTCCCTTTGATATTCTTTTGGGAAAGTTTTTAAGAAACTAGTTTCTATCATTTATTAATATTCTGTATACCTACAGAATTACTATTAGCTGATGTATCAATTCAGCGTTATTAACTTTGTTAATAATGCTTTCCTAATTAAATGGTAGTCAATGAACAGTGAAGAGATTCATTGAAAGAGAAAACTGCAGATATCCTTAGAGTGTCAAATTTGATATGCTAACCAATGAAGTAGGAAATATAAGGTTTAGGTTTTTTGTTTTGTTTTTAACCAGTTTGTTAACAGCAGACATTATGTTCTGAGTTAATTCATTTAATTTTCAAAAAACATAGCATTGTGTTTGGAATAGCCTAGGTTGACATCTCACTGACTACTGTAAGCTGTACTGAATTTTTTGATGAAGTATTTGTTGGGATTTTTTTTTAATCTCCAAAATTTTTTCCCCCAAAATACTGTTTCCTGGGATAATTTATTGGTAATTTATTTACTTGATAATTTATTGGTACAGAACAAGGAAAAACTTCTTTAAAAAAATTTTGTATTTAAAGCTGATGCTCCATCGAAAATCCGGGTGGATAATGGGTATGCCATATCCTGTCTCTTGACCCATGAGGTCATGGTTGAAGGACCCTTTGTGTGACAAAAATAGCCTTACTCAATGGCTCAGCTGATCCTAGCTCAGTCTGTTACTGTCAGTGTGCACATCCTGACGCAGTTCTACATTTCTTTCCCCTTTGCCCCCCACAGGGAGCATTGCCTGCCTCTGGTGGGACCCCATTCAGCGGTTACTCTTCTCAGGAGCATCAGACAACAGCATCATCATGTGGGACATTGGAGGCAGGAAAGGCCGGACGCTCTTGCTTCAGGGCCACCAGTATGTGACCATTCATGGAGGGACAGGGAAAGAATCTGAGGATGCAAGGAGCCAAAGGAAGCATTAGAGCTCTGTACCAACCCTAATTTTATTTATTTTTATTTTTGAGATTGAGTCTTGGCATTCAGTGTAGGCTGGCCTTGAACTTGAAATTGTCTGCGACCTGAGCCGTTGAGTGGGTGTTTAGCACCATATTCAGTACACCCTGTCTTAAGACAGTAATTTGATAAGCCCAAGTCTACTTTTACCTGCCTTTGTCAGGCTTAAATATCTGGTTTTAAAAAAAAAGTTCAGGATTTCTTAGTCTAAAGGGCACTTGCTACTTTCCTTCCCTAAGGAGTTATCACCCTGTTAAAATATCTGCTGAAGGGGCTGGGAAGGTGGCTCAGTGGTTCACCCTGTTAAAATATCTGCTGAAGGGGCTGGGAAGGTGGCTCAGTGGTAGAGCACTTGCCTTGCATGCATGAGGCCCTGGGTTCGATTCCCCAGCACCACATAAGCAAAAAGAAAAAAAGCCAGAAGTGGCGCTGTGGCTCAAGTGGTAGAGCACTAGCCTTGAGCTGAAGAGCTGAGGGACAGCGCCCAGACCCAGAGTTCAGGCCCCACGACCGGATCCAAAAAAAAAAAAAAAATCTGCTGAAGGCAGGTGCTGCTGAGAGTTGCCAGTGAAGACTTTGACCTTGGCAGGTTGCATGCATTTTATTAGGAAGTAATATATTCAGCTAGGCACCAGTGGCTCATGCCTGCAGTCCTACCTACTTAGAAGGCTGAGGTCTGAGGATCCAGGCTCGGTGTCAGCCTGGGCAGGAAAGTCTGTGGGAATCTTGTTTCCGTTTAACTAGCAAAAAGCCACAAGTGGAGCTGTAGTTAAAGTAATAGACTTATGCCATGAGCAGAAAAATAAGGGACAGTGCTCAATCCCTGAGTTCAAGCCCCAGAACCAGCATAGAACGAACAAACAAACAAGAAGAAGAAGAAGAGAGGCATACCTTCACTCAGCATTCATCCTCCCCTAAGCTCTGACAATGTAATAGTTGAGGTCTTGTCTTCTAGTAAGTGAAAAGTGTTCCCTTCTTCCTGCAGTCAGTCAGCTGTAGTCGCAGTCAAGTTGAAATTTAGCCAAGGAAATATTAGGTACAAAGTTGACAGGGCAGGAGATCATTTCCCTGGCTTGTGGTGGACAAGTGTGATAAGCCTGAAGGAAGAGAGCAGATTTCTTTTACTTGTGTTTGTGTGTGTACATGTGTGTGTGGAGTGTGTGTGTGTGTGTGTATGTGCATGTGTGTGTGAGAGAGCAAGAGAGAGAGAGAGAGAGAGAGAGCGTGAGCGCATGATATCCATGCTGTCTGATTACTTGTTCCTGGAACCGTGTTCCAGGAAGCAAGTTAAACTGTGTCAGGAGCTTCCTTGACCTTTTCCAACTGGCCATTCTAAATGATAGACTTGAAAGTAGTTTACAAAAACTATGACTCTGTAAGTTCTAGGATGCCAAGTATAGTTTATTATACAGTTCTCATTGCCATGCCAAATGGTGATAAAATGCTGCTTGAATGTGGAGCTGAACTGATGCGCCTGACCATCATTTATCCATCAAGACATGTGACTCTGTGTGACGTTGACAGTGACAGGGTGCAGTCGCTGTGCTACCTGCAGCTCACGAGGCAGCTGGTGTCCTGTTCATCGGATGGTGGAATTGCTGTGTGGAACATGGACGTTAGCCGAGAAGAGGTGAGAGGCTCTGGTCACTAGTGAGCCCCCCACACCCTGCCCCTTCACACTCTGCCCATTAAGTGCAAGGCTGGCAGTGCTGCCATGGGGGTGACACTGCTCTGTCTCTGGCTTCTGGTCGCACAGGGTCCTGGGTGGCATTCTGCATTGCATCCTCCATGCATGTGAGAATGTCCACCAGTGACAAGCGGTGTGTGTTCAGATGGCTCAGAAGCTGGCACATGGAGACAGTCTCCTGCATTTGCAGGGATCTGGGCTATGGCAGATTCCCCATCCACTCAAAGCATTGGGTGGCCCCACAGCAGTCTTCTCGGAAGCCCCAGAAAGCATGTCTCAATGACATGCTAGATACTTGTCATTTTCCTGAGAAAGTGGATCCCTCCATCTCTGCTTTTTCAAGTGAGCTATGTTCCTTTGAGTCCATGTCAACAAAACATTTTTTTTTTTGTGTGTGGGGGGTCTTGTTGTGGGGCCTGAACTCTGGGCCTGGGCGCTGTCCCTCAGCTCTTCAGCTCAAGGCTAGCTCTCTAACACTTCCAGCTTTTTTTTTTTTTTCTGCTTATGTGGTGCTGAGGAATCAAACCCTCAAGCATGCAAGGCAAGCGCTCTACCACTGAGCCACCTTCCCAGCCCCAATAAAACATTTTTTTTCAGAGTCAGTAGTAGATCTAGAATGCAGGGCCTCAAGTTCTTGGCTTTTGTACTCAAGGCTGGTACTCTACCACTTGACCCATGTCTCCACTAATGGCATTTTGTTGAGTAGTTGGAGATAAGAGTCTCACAAGACTTTTCTGCCCTGGTTGGCTTTGAGCCATGGTCCTCAGATCTCAGCTTCCTGCCTCGCTAGAATTATAGACATGAGCCACTGGCACTTAGCTAGCAACACAATTTTGAATGTAGTTGGGCCTCTAGTGGGACCTTGTTCAATAGATGTTTTACTTTCTTCTGAGCATCTGTTCACTCTTCCATAAAGAAAAACCATTGGATGAGATGTCTGCTAAGATATCAACTGTTTTTGACTGTCTACAACCTCTTGGTCTTCTCTATTTTACTTATTTACTTTTTGTTTACTTTTGTGTACTAGGGATTGTACTCAAGGCTTTGTACTTGTTATAGAAGCATTCTACCACATGAGCCACAGCCCCTGCCCTGTATGATTTTCAGCTTTTCAGATTGAGTCTCATGCTTTTGCCTGGGCTACACTCCTTGGACCACACTCCTACCTCTGCCTCCCAAGTAACTGAGACAACAGGCCTGCACCATTGTACAAGCTTGTTTTTCAGATAGGGTCTTAGTAACTTTTGACTATAGTTAATGATCATCCTGTTTCTACTTCCTAAGTAACTGGGATTACAGGAATGCTCTACCACACCCATCTTTTTCTATTTTGAGTAATGCTGCAGTGAATATACTTGACCTTGTCATTGTGTGATTATTTAGTTATTCCCTACAGGCAAATTTCTAAAGATAGACCTTCTGGTGTAAGGATATATACATTCTTAAAGCTTTTTATAGCTGTCATAGGTTTCCAACAGGATTTCCATTTTCATCCTCGTCAGCATTTGGACTATCTGTCTTTCTCAGCAATATCTATAGCCTGAGATGTCAATAGCAAGAGGATTGATTCCCAGAGAAGATTTTGGAGGATGTCAATAATGTATTAAAACCAGAAGCATTTATGGAGCCACCTACATGGTGGCCACTGGAAATGTAGGTGGCAGTGCATGATAAATGGTGCATTGACACTGCATTACTATTTATCATCTGTTACATGGCATCCTTTGATGGGTGCAGTGTGGCTTCCTCTGCATCAGTGTGGAGTATGGAGCCCTTCGCAGTGGACACCACATGGTAACTCAAAATGCTGCCAACCCTTGCACAGGGTCTGCTCTATTTTGTCTCGGATCATTTTTGAGTCAGATTCTCACTAACTAAACCTTGGTTGTTAGCATGCACCATAAGAAATAATGAAAGGATACAATGTTCAATGTTTTGAACAATAGTGGCGTTACTCATTTCCAGATGTTATGGCTATCCTTTATGCTCTCTCTGTACAGAGATTCTTGCTTACCACCAGCTTCAATGTAGTGAAAGAAATAGACTACCCTATACATAACAAGATTCACTCAGTATTGTTAAGATATGCTGATTGTTGGGGTTTTCTAGTAACTTTGTGAGACAAGTCAGACAGGAAATTCTGATTATATGTCTGCTGATTAACTTCTCTTTTTGGATATTCTAAAAAGTCTTGGGAAAGCTTAAAGTAATGTCAGCTTAGTATTGCAGAATTGTAATACTTTGCTTGTGAAGATCTATTTGAGCTATGCTTTATAGCTCTCATCTAGAACAGCTAATTGATTGTTCTGTTCATAGGTTGGTCTGTCAGTTTTCAGTCTTCAGAAAGAGAAAGAGGAGGGGAAGATCCCTGGAGCCTTAGGGAAGGAGATTGCTGGAGCTCTGTTATAGATTTAACCATATGGGTGTCAGTACACTGTTATTATCCTTGGTAAATTCTTTTTAGAAAGTACTCAGAAAGTAGGAGCAGGAGCCTTTCTTTAAGTTACGTAATTATAGACTGTGTTGGTACATGTATGGAAAGAAAACACAGTCCTGTCTTTCAAAGTGCTTCCTGTGTGGGCAGTTGATTTCCTTTTTAGAAGAGATAAGGAAGCAGACAGTATCCAAAAAAAAAAAAGAAAAAGATAAAAAAAGAGACATGATCCAATAGGTTTGGTTTCCAGTTGAGAATAGTATAGAAGTAGCAGCTTTTGAGTTTTTGTTTTTGTTTGTTTTTTTCTTGCTGGTACCGGATCTTGAACTCAGGGCCTGAACACTCTCCCTAGCTTTTTCATTCAAGGCTAGTGCTCAGCAACTTTGAGCCACAGCACCATTTGCAGCATTTTGGTGGCTAATTGGAGGTAAGAGTCTTATATTTTTTATCTGCTTAGGCTCACTTCAAACCATATCCTCAGATTTTAACCTCCTGAATAGCTAGGATCTGAGTCTGTGTTTATGTGATTTATAGGACTCCCAGAACTATGGCAGGGGGGAAGAGCCCAGGCTCTCCAGCTCCACACACTTGCCTGGAATAGCCTTTCAAGTCGCCAGTGAGCGATGGCTGGAGAGTTTCCAGACCACTGGGGATACCATTGTCCTCCTCACTGTCAGAATGCACAAAGACCTGCTCCCTCACCAGATTACAGTTATAGAGGATTCTTCTTCCGGAAGTAGGCAGAAAATACACATAAGCAAGTAACAAGAGCTTAGAGTATGAGTCCTTTTTTTAAAAAAATAAAGAAGTTTTAACTAGCAGATTACAGAATGTATACTGTTTTATACATAGCAATTAGAGTGGATTATTCTTGTTCTGTGTTCTTTGCTGAGGATCAAGATGTGAAAAAGAGCTGGTCATCTTTTTTTTTTTCCTCTTTTTCCTTCTCTCCTTTTCCTTCCTTTCCTTCTGAGTTTGGAAGTGGTTAATTCCTCTTCTGTTCCAGTTGAGAGCCATACTTCTGATTTTTGGGTGATTAAAGTTTGCTTTTGAAGATACTTGTTTTGTAAGGTAATTCTTAAATGACAGTGTATGGCCAGGCAAAGTAGAAAATTGAGCAAATTAACTGTATTTGAAAGAAAATTTGTTTTAGAGCCTTGCTTTATTATAGCTTGCATTTTGGGTACAATAAGCATGGGAAATACAGAGTGGGCAATTTTTTGTTGGTTATTACCATTAAAGCCACCATGGTGTTCCTATTAGACTCTCTGGTCCCCACAGAAGATAGTTTAACAAGAACCTTTTCTGCTGATTTTCACTGGACCTGACTGGTTTGCAGGACTACATTCAAGCCTGTCCCAGACATAAGATGAAAAAATCTGTGTCCCTCCCCTGCAACCAGATGTTTGTGCTGTTCGCAGCACAACCTGCTGTGCTTCCTCAAGGGATGTGGTTGCCAGGCAGTGTTCCAAATCATGCTAGCCTTCATCACCAGCTCTGTTTAGTTGTTTAGGGAGACAGGAGTAGCTCTACACCAGGGTGAGCATCTTCCTCCGCGGTTGCCCATTCTCCATCACTCTTCCTTTCTCCCTGCTCATTTCCAACAGTGTTCCCCCCGCCCCCCCGTATGGAGAGCCTGTTTCAGTCTACTTGGGAGTGCCTTGCTTTTCCCACCCCTAAAAGACATTTCTAATGGCTGTCTTATGCCAGGGATTTCCAGTGACATAACCAAAATGAAAACTATGATAGCCCCAAATTTTGATACAATAGGAGACAAGATAAAGAACCATTCCTCCTGTGAAGTTTGTAGAAAGCCTATCTTCACTAACTCTTCTAAATGTCAGTTTGCTGATTCTGGAGTTTGAACTCGGCCTTGCCCTTTCTCTTTTGCTTTTTTACTCAAAATGGTGTTCTTCTCAGCACTTGAGCCACACTGCCACTTTTGAGTTTTACTGGTTAATTGGGGATAAAAGTCTCATGGACTGTTCTTCTTGGGCTGGTTTTGAACTGTGATTCTCAGATCTCAGCCTCCTGAGTAGATAGGATTACAAATGTGAGCTAAGATTCAACTTTTTAAAAATGTTTTTTATTGTGAAAATACTGTACAAAAGGTTTACAGTTACATGAGCAAGGTAATGAGTTCATTTCTTATCAAGCATTGTTGCCTTCTCCTTCGTTTTTCCCCTACCATCCCTTCCCTCCCACCTCCACAACATAACTACACTTTCTTCCATGCCCCCCCTTAAATTGTAAAGTTAGTTTTTCAACTTTTTAAAATGAAGAAAAAATTACTTCCTATACCATGATCTATGGATTAATTTATGGGAACTGTTATTTACTATTTGATTATACTCATTTAACAATTGTTAGTAATTAGCTAGACCATCTTTTTAAAAGTTTTAGTATTATAATCAAGTACAATTGATAATTTTCTGGTTTAGAGAAATATTTTCTAAGTTCCTGATAAAGTCTTGGAACTTTAAATCCTCTTTCACCAAAAATGCACAGAACGTCAGCCACAGTGGCTAAAGCTAGTACTCCTAGCTTCTTGGGAAGTAGAGATGGGGGATGATGATTCACAGCCCTTCTGGACATTAAGAAGAAAAAGGTCATGAGACTCCATCTCAGTCAATGGCTGGGCATGGTAGTGTATGCCTGTCTTCCTCAGCAACATGCAGAAAAACAAGATGGGAAATTACAGCCCATACTGGCCTAGGCTTAAAGTGAGATCTTACTTCAAAAAAGACCAGTAGGATGGGCTGGGAAGGTGGCTCAGTGGTAGAACGCTTGCCTTGCATGCCTGAGGCCCTGGGTTTGATTCCTCAGCACCACATAAGCAAAAAGAAAAACGCCAGAAGTGGTGCTGTGGCTCAAGTGGTAGAGTGCTAGTCTTAAGCTGAAGAGCTGAGGGACAGTGCCCAGGCCCAGAGTTCAGGCCCCACGACCAGACCATAAAAAAAAAAAAAAAAGACCAGTAGGAGAAAAGAGTCTGGAGGTGTTGCTCAAATAGTACCAATAAATACTCATTTATTAGTGTGGGGAAAGAAATATAAAGCTTATGGCTCAGTCGAGGCTGTAGAATTGTGGTGCCAATCAGGAGGAAGGGAGACTGCTCCTCAGAGACCTGAGATTTGGGGGTAGGGAAGTAGTGAAGGGAAGGGCCAGCTAGCCTAGCCTGATGCTCATTCCAGAGGCCTAGCATATAGTTACATCTTGTTGGCTTTCTCTTCTCAGTTACCCAGGAAGTGGTAGTTTATCAGATTCTGCAAGAAACAAAATTGCTTTACTCAACTGGATGTAGATCACAAATGATTTAGCTTTAAATAGAAATATATAGACAGCCCTTAATAGTTTGCAATAAAAATGTAACTAATTGCTCACTTTTACCTGTAGATTACAGATTGAACAACGCTGTAAACAGTAAATTTGTAGTCACTCTTGGAAATTCAGATAGGATGTTGATTATGGTAGCCAGCTAAAAATTAAGAAGAAGCACGAACCCTAGCATGTTCTAGACGCTCCCGTGTTTAAATGTGCAGACGTGTTGATGTTGTCTTCAACTCTGATCCCGCAGGCTCCTCAGTGGCTAGAGAGTGATTCCTGTCAGAAGTGTGAGCAGCCCTTTTTCTGGAACCTAAAGCAGATGTGGGACACGAAGACACTGGGTTTGAGGCAGGTGAGTAGCTATGGTGAATGGTCTCTCTGTGGATCGTGTTTACAGTATGTATATCATTAATCTGTTATTTCTTTTAGAATCCTATGTTCTGGCAAATGCTGTTAATTCTTATTCTCTAAAACAATTTTTCTTTGTTGATACTGGGGTTTGAACTCTGGGCCTCACATTTGCTGGGTAAGCACTCTGCCTCACGAGCCCTTATATATAACAATTTGCTGGGGCCAGTGATAAATTACCATATGTTACCATTCCATTGCCTGTCCTGCACTGGAAAAACAGGGATATATAAAAGCCCCTGATAATCCAATTTTAAATTAGTGAAAGATCTTTCAACTTTGGACTGTTACTTACTGAAGTCAGTATTTCATCCAGTCAGATATAAAATTAGGCTAAATAGGGCATGTAAATGTATGCCTTATGCTGTCACAAATAGGTAAGGGATGGCAGTTGAGTTTTCTTTCATTGAGTTACTCTTTGACCCGATGAATTTTTTTCCATGTAAGTATATGTGGAGCATTCTTATTATAAATATTTTGAATAGAACATTTTTTAACTCACTTATTTATTTTTGTGTTCATACTAGGGCTTAACCTCTGGGCCTCAGGCTCTCCCTCACTTTATTTTGCTTTAGGGCTGATGCTCTGCCACTGAGCCATGCTTCTGTTAGAGGCTTTTGGCTGGTTAATTGGAGATAAGAATCCTGTGGATTTGTCTGCTCAGGCTAGCTTCAAACCTTTATCCTCAGATTTCTGCCTCCTTGAAATAACTAGGATTATAGGCATTAGAGATCAGCACCTGTTGTATGTTTTTTTTTAATTTTTAAATTAAATGTGTTCCAATATGCCTGTTGCACAAGGTCTTCATGTAATACTAAAGTTCTCCCACAAAATATATTTCTACCGCAGCTTGAAGGTAGCCACTAACTCAGGGTGACATGAATGTATGCAGGTAAGTAAAAGGAATGCTGTTATTCCTTTAATACTGGTTGTATTCCTATGAAAGATTAACCTGAAGTCTACGTGTTAATAAGCACTCTTTATAATTTCCCTCCCACAGCTGCTCTCTACAAAGTCTGCTGTGAGACTGGCAGCTTGTAATGGCCTAATGCTCTGAAATGGCCCCTAAATTCTGTCATTAGCCAAGTTCTCACAATGCATGTCCAGTTTGTAAGTTGTGCATTATAACTAATGAGTGAGGTATTCTTCATTACTTGTAATGGAAATACAAAAGAATAAGTTTTATTCTTATGCCTTAACAAGTAATAGAAGGGAGAGAAGAGGTATTAGTTGCTAGGCATTTAGAGATGATGCATCTAAATCAGTAATAATAGATTGCTTGGAATGTTCTTGAGACTTAATCACAATCTGAGAAGTTGAAATAGCAAATATATGAGTATATATACTCATTTCCTAATGAGTGTGTCCCATTAAAACTTGGAAGTTAGAGATAAGAATACATTTTCCTTCTAACAATCTTCAGTGATTAGATTCCTGAATGAACCTTTAAAATTTTTATTTTTTGTTATTAGAAAGGTAATATACAGAAGGGTTACAGTTATATGTTAGGTAATGCATACATTTCTTTTTGGATAATGTTACCTTTGACCTCACTCTCTCCCAGTTTTTCCCTCCTATTCCCACCCACAAATTGTGTCGTTCATTTTCAACATAATGTCTAATTAGGGAAGTTGCACTCTGGCTCAAGTGGTAGAGTGCTTGCCTTGAGCTGAAGAGCTGAGCGAGAGCGCCCAGGCCTAGAGTTCAAGCCCTATGACCACCAACACCAACAACAACAACAAAAAAGCAAACGTAATATCTAGTTAGTACCACTGCTGTATTTGTTCATCCTTTGTCCCTCCATTTCTGTGTTTCCTCTTACCCTCCCCAAAACAGATAAATGAACAAACACGACAAAAGAAAAAACAAAAACAACAACAAAGAAAAGACCTGGTTTTCATCTCCTGAAGTTCATTTTGATAAATATTATTTTATATGATCAAAGACACATAGGCATTACACCTTTGTCTTCCTTCCCTAAGAGTGTCCTCCTTTGGCTGAACTTTTAATGTTTGCTGCCTGGAGCAACATTTGACCCAACAAAGAGATCCTGAATATGTTGAAATTGTCTGGCTTTTGAGTATCAGTTGATACACTGGGTGGTGATTAGAACTCAAGGCCATCCTTCCCTGTTCCCATTTCCCAACTTGAAAGGGAAGCCTGGTGTACTGAGGAAAGGTTGCCTTGTGCACTAGGGCAAGGCTGACTCCATTTTCTCTGTCTCTTGGTAAGCATCACTGCAGGAAATGTGGGCAAGCCGTCTGTGGCAAGTGCAGCAGCAAGCGTTCCAGTTACCCGGTCATGGGCTTTGAGTTCCAGGTCCGAGTTTGTGATTCCTGTTACAACTCGATCAAAGAGGAAGAGTGAGTGTGCATAGATCTTTCTCTTCCTGCCTACTTCTCCTTCTGATGAATGTCTGAACACAGGCAGCCTGAGAAATGATCCAAATGTCTATCTACTATCCCTCTGTCTCTTCAGAGCTTTCCAAGACATTTCTAATGACAAATTTCTGTCCTAGCTTTTTGACTTTGGATTGCTACTTGTTATTTCAAGCTATCCCATGGGCTGAGACAGATGTCTTCTTGAACACTTGTAAGGCCTCCTTGACCACTCCAGCAGCTGCCTAGGTATTCCTGAGCGCTGAGGCCCACAAGGCTCTAGGCAGGGACCAGTTATGTATGGATAGCCAGGTGTTGGTGGCTCATACCTGCAATCCTAATTACATGGAGGCTGAGACTGGGAGCATTGTGGTACCAGGCCCGCCCAGGCAAACACATCTGAGAGACTCTATCTCCACAAGGGAAAGCTATATGCAGTAATGTGTGCCTGTGATCCCAGTGATGATGAGAAGCCTAAAATAGGTAGATCACAGCTCAGGTATGCATGTGGATAGAAAATGGAGTTGGTCCTATTCTAAAAAATAACCAGTGAAAAACAGGGCTGGAGCCATGGCTTAACAGTTTTGTACCAGCCCAATCTGAGTTCAAACCCCTGGCCCTACAAAAGTCAATGAAAGTTACTTTGAATGTTTTATAAAGCTCCCCCCACCCCGCCTGAAGTATTGGTATTGAATCCAGAACCTGATGCATACAATATCACTGAGATATACTCAGTCCTTATCAAAATCTTTTATAAACCTGTGGTTTATTTTGCTGAGCTTGAACTTGCATGACTTTTTTTTTGGTCTACCACTTGAGCCATTCCTTCAGTCTTCTGCTTTTTGCTGGCTCACGGAAGATGGAGTTCCATGGACTTTCCTGCTCAAGCCAGCTTCAAACAGTTATACATACTGAAGGTCTTAGCTTTCTGGTAGTTAAGATTACAGATGTGAGCAACCAGTACCAGACACTGTCATTCTTTAAGTATAAAGTTGTTTTTCAAAACCACAGCCACATTTAAGAATCTGATTTTATCACTGTTAACTGTATTTGTACAACTTACCTTGCTTTCAAAAAAATTCCTTAACTCCAGGCACAAACAGGTAAGTTTCTCCTTTCTCTTGTTAGTCGGACTTCTCTAGCAACTTTTCATGAAGGAAAGCATAACATTTCCCACATGTCCATGGACATTGCCAGGGGACTGATGGTGACCTGTGGCACGGACCGCATCGTCAAGGTAAGCTTGCCTAATGGTTAGTGTCTTGAGTTTAGATACCTCCATTGTCAGCCTGTGGTTTCTGACTGGCAAGATTGCCTTCATTTCTTATCAGCAACGTATTGCCGATGGATAGCCAATGGGTCTTCGTGGTATCTCCCTTTGTCCTGGTAGTCTAGCCCAGAGAGCTCGTAAGGGCATGCTGTCACTTTCTGTGTATGCTGAGCTTGCCCAGGCTTCTCTTCCCAGATGGCTGAGGCTTTGCTGGCTGTGTATCTTCCTTCCCAGTTAGTGCCACCTGGGTCCTGGACAGAAGGCAGCTTCCCTGAAAGAAATAACTGCTCCGTTTTTTATGTCATCTCTAGGTTACTAACAGAAATTGAAAAAAGAAGTTAGATGCTGTGTACACCACTCAAGTTAGGAAACTATGAAATAGTTCACATTCCCCATGGGCTTTTGAATTAAACACTCAGATTTACAGTAATGCATTATTATTATCTTTTTGTAGGCAGAGAGAAGTGTACATTTTGTTTATGCTTTGTTGAACTGCTTTGTTTATCCCTGTGTATGTAGTCAGGTTTTGTTTTCACAGTTAGCAGAAGTTGGGCGGAGTCTTGGTGTTTGACCCCACAATGAGAAGGCACTCTCCACATATCTCATCTTCTTGTAGATCTGGGACATGACGCCTGTGGTGGGCTGCAGTCTGGCAGCGGGGTTTGCGCCACACTGATCCAGGTGCTGGGTGATGGCGACACCTCAGGAACAGCTGCCTCCGCCAGATGAAACCCTTCCCATGTAGCTCGACAGCCGCCGTCACAGGAAAGGATAGTGGCTACCGAGAAACAAATCGGCATTTTTTAAAAGGAATAAAATGTAAAGGTGTGTGGGGGGCATCTGTGGAACTCACCTGCGGGGACTAATGTGGAAATGATCTGTGTAGGAACCCCTTCCTGAGGAAGGGGGAAAGCTTGCTCGTGAACAGTGAGCTCAGGTATGAGGAAAGAGGAGCGTGTACTGAGTGAGTTTTAGAAGGGAAACAATTGGAAGGGAAGTGGATGCTTAGAACTTTACAAAAACAGTCCCAAGTCCAAACCCACATCTGTCAGAGTGCTGGCCTCCCCTGGGCCCAGGCTTTCTGTTGTCAGAGCAGGAGCTAGGGAGGAGGGCTATCCTCTCTTTGTCAAGGGGGGGGCACCACTTGTATGTGATTGTCTACTCTTAGTTGTTGATAAACTTCTTAAAAGGCATTTGTTCTCTTTAGAGAGTGTCATCACCTGGTCTCAGCCTTGGATTTGCTTTAGTCATTTCTGTTGCAGCCAGTGTGTGTCATGTAACCAGGAAAGTCCCCTACTCTTTCCCCCCACATGTGTTCTGAGGACAAAGCTTCCTTATGGTGCTGTTAACATGAGTCATGTGGTCACCAGACATTTTCTTACTGTAGCTAGTAACAAGTAATAGAAAACCCAGTGACCAGGCAATGGTGATGGGATAGAGTCAGTTCCATAGAATGGGAGCTATCTGTTCCTACTAAAGACACCTTTTAGGTGGAGTCCCAACATGAGCCCCTGTGATGTGGTGGAAGTTTATTGTGTCCCTCAGAAAAGTGCTCCAAAGCTTTGTTGGCTTTTAATCATAACTAATGTAATTTATTTTTCATAGGAGAATATGGATGGCTCAGAACTGTAATCGTTAATCAGATCCTATCAGTAATTCCTTCCATCATAGCTAGTGAAAGTTGTTTCAAACATATTCTTAAAGTGCTTGGCCACAAAGTTTAGGTTAAGGAGGAGATGGAGGAGAATGAGTCTGCCTTTAATAATACAGATGGGTACATGTGTGTGTTTTGATAGTAACACATGTATCCATTCTTCTAGAGCTATGAAAGCAAGGAGAGAAGGTCCTACTTTTCTTTTTTGGTGCCAGTACTGGGGCTTGAACTCAGCTCAAGGCTCTTGTTCTCTCACTTGAGGCACAGGTCTACATTCTGGCTTTTTGATAATTTATTAAGTGTCTCACAGCCTTTCCTGCCCAGGTTAGCTTTGAAAGGATCCTCAGATCTCAGCCTCCTGAGTAGCTAGGATTAGAGGCTTGAACTACTGGCACCTGACAGGCCTACTTTTTTAAAGGACAGATATAAACATAGATTAGCAACAGTATTTTTGTGAATCTTACTAATGGATATTGAGTTTTTCTTTTTTTTTTCAAAGACTATTGCATCATTGTACAAGAATCATTGCAAGACAATGTGATAATTGAAAAACTAAGGGACTAGATCTGCTTTATTAACACAGCTTACGGGGATGAAAAGGTTTAAGACAGGAAATCAAACAGGGCTTAATGGCCATGGCCATGTAATACACATAAAACACAATAAAGCACACCATGTTTTGTAATGCTCTACATAAAGGTACACTTGTCTTTGGAAATAAGGCTGAGTGAAGGATTTGGTTGCTCCTTATAATTTTGTGTTACATCACTTGGAAAAGCTGTTTGCTTTAAAAATCTCTTCCATGACTGTACAATGTGTGTCAGTAACATAGTTTGGAAGTAAAACTGAGCGATGATTACTCCAAAACTACAGTGTTAGATATTGGATTTTTTTGTAGAACTGCTCTTCTGGGCTTCATTAAGTCCTGAGAGGAAACCAGGACATGATTGAGTCCTTGCCCTGTGGAAGAGCACTGAGCTGTGGTTTTGTTTTTCTTTATCTTCTGTAAAATGTGACTTTTCCATGTCTGTGTTAAACTGAAAGGAGTAGAAAAGCTGTTGAGAATGCTCCATAGCCAACAAGCTTTTTTTTTTGTTTTAAAAACTGTTGATATTAAAAAAAGAAATCAGATTTTCTTAGAAAATGGAAATTTGTTTTAGATCTTCTAGAGGGAATATAAGTCAAGGAGAACATTTATATTTAAGGAAGAATTGGAGTGGGGTTCATTAGGGAAGGGTATGTTTTCCTCCTTACCCCAGCCTAATGAGTTACTATTTATTTGCTGATCTTGTCTCTATCGTGTATTACATAGCATAATGGGGTAATATTTTTTATAGAGGTGGGCAAAACTTATTTTCGCAATTTTACAACTAGGCAACAAGGGAAGGTACCAATAGGTTTATGGTTACTGCCTTACATTGACTGTGTTTCTCTTAAACGGGTCATTTAAGATAGTTCTCGAGTAACATGTCACTGTCCTTTCATTCCTGAGTTCTCAAGTTCATTTGTACAAATAGGTAGGGATTGGGAAGTAAAGGAAGTCAGAGAAGACCCTTCTATTAGAGTTAGTTTATGTAATAAGGAAATGTCAGTTCTTCATTATCAACATGCTTTTAAGTTAGCCTTTGCTAGTCCAAATGATAGAATTAACACTTGAGCATTAGATAGAAATCACTACTGAAATCATTATTCATTACATTATAAACCTTCCTATATTATATCCTAGTTCCATTGCTACTTAGAGGAAACAAACAAAAAGCTTTGTTTTATCCCCAGCAATTCGATTTATTAGCATCTGTATTTTTAACTTGTTGAAAATAATCCAAATATGTTAATAAATGCACACAGCAACTCCAACCCAAGAAAATATTTTCTAAAATCAATTTACAGTCAAATACTTTTTACTTGCATTACTAAATCTGGTGTTCTACTAAAAAGTAAGAAACCAGTTCCTATTAATGGTAAACCATCTGCTCATTATAAATGTGAGAGATTTAACAAATAAGTAATACATGCTGTATTTATCCAAGTGTCTATTGCTTAGTTGTTAATTGTGGGCAGGTTATTGAGTGTCTTGTCTATTTTCTGCAGTTTACAATACTTCTTTGAGTATGGTGAAGTTTAATTGTGCAGCAAATTTATATTAGAGTACAATTTAAAGGTTTTCTCTACAGCCTTTTTTGACTGAGGAAGCAAAAAGTGATGTCAATTAGTAAACTTTGTTCTTGTACTAGCTATGTTTCTAGAAGATATGGTGCCCTGTATATTCCCAGAGAGCCTAGAAAACCATTGTTCATTGCTCCTCTTTGTGAGTTCTGTTTTTGTGGGGTTTTTTTTGAGAATACACATAAATAAAATATTCCTTGCTTGTTACTGTGCTGCCTAATTTAGCTTTTGTTATGTTTGATATGAATATAGGTGAATAACAGTGTCATTCTTCTATACGCTTCTGCAAGTGTTTTTCTCCCAGGTCTGTTTTACAGATGAGAAAACTAAGAAAATTCTGGCTGTCATCCAGTCTCACTTGAAAGCCCATGCGTACTCCACATGCCCCATCTTCTGTGGCATGGCATGAAGCTACATGTGCAGGAGGTAGGTAGTGTGACCTTTGTCACAGTCTTGCATGGAAGTCTTGATTTCCCAGCCAAGGCTTAGGATATGTAGCTCTCCATGTACCAAGCTCAGGATCTGTAGGCTATCCATGCACCATGCTTCACAGAGAGGTCACAATCCAAGCTCTGCTGCTCCACTAGGGCAGTTCAGGAGAGCTGATTCCTCAGCTAAGGCAATGAGAGATTGACTTCACCAGTCAGGTTACTGTGTAGTTCTCAAAAATAAGTAGGGCTTTTTCTTTTTTCTTTCAGCATTGAAGGACATTTTTTTTTTACTTGTTTTTTATTGTGAGAATACTGTACAGAGGGGTTACAGTTACATGAGCAAGGTAATGAGTACATTTCTTATCCAGCATTGTTGCCTCCTCCTTTGTGTTTCCCCTACCATCCCTTTCTCCCACCTCCTCAGCTACAGCCCCCCTCAACACCCCCATCTCCCCAACCCCCTACCTAAATTGTAAAGCTTGTTTTTCGACATAGCGTCTTGTACATCTCATTGTTGCAATGGGTCAATCTGTATCCCTACTTAAACAATTTGTTTTTTCCCTTCCCCTCCCCAAATTATACCAGCATCAAATACAGTGAAAACAGGGGTTATATCGTGGGGGTATAAAGCAACAAAAAAATCACATGATACTCTATAAATACATTAGAAACAATGCAAGGAAGAAAAAACCACTTGTGTCCCTATATTGGGGTTCATTGAGAACAAATAAGAAGATACATAAATCAAAATTTTGTAAGGAGGTTTTGTTGGTTTTTCTTTTACTGGGATTTTGAACCCAGGAGCTTAACCAGAAAGGCACTTTACCACTTGAGTCATGCCTCCAGTCCTTTTTTGCTCCTGATTTTTCAGATAAGGTTTTCAGTTTTTTTCCTGGGCTCACCTTGGACCAAGATCCTCCCACCTCCACCTCCACCTCCATAGTTGCTAGGATTATAGGTGTGAACTACAATACCCAGCCCTGAAATAAGAGACTTTCCCTTTCCTTTTTTCTTTTCTTGACAGTCCTGGAGCTTGAACTCAGGTCCTGGGTGCTGTCCCTGAGTTTCTTTGTTCAAAACTAATATAGTGGCACGTGAACCACAGCTCCACAGCTTCTGGCTTCTTTGATAGTTAATTGGAGATAGGAGTCTCATGGACTTCCCTGCCCAGGCTGGCTTTGAACTACAATCCTCAGATCTCAGCCTCCCAGTAGTTATGATTACAGGCATGAACCACAGGCACCTAGCTTCACTGACTATTTTTTTTTTTTTGGTCGGCCGTGGGGCTTGAACTCTGGGCCTGGGCACTGTCCCTCAGCTCTTCAGCTCAAGGCGAGCGCTCTACCACTTGAGCTACAGCGCCACTTCCGGTTTTCTGGTGGTTTATTGGAGATAGGAGTCTCACGGTCTCTCCTGCCCGGGCTGGCTTTGAACCGCGATCCTCAGATCTCAGCCTCCTGAGTAGCTAGGATTACAGGCGTGAGCCACCAGCACCCGGCTTCACTGACTATTTTTATGATGGGGTCTCCTTACCCATGCTGGAGTCACAGTCTGACTACTTTCATGCTTCCCATTGTTCAAGGTATCACAGGTATATAACATTGCATCAAGCTTTCTCTATGGACCCAGGGTCTTCCAGATATTTTCACCTGGCTAGTCTGATAGTGACCAGTCTCTTGTTACATGTGCATACCATTACCTAGATGTGGTTGAGATGGGGGTCTCACACACTTTCCTTCCTGATTTGACCCCAGACCAAGATTCTGGTATTCATTCTTAGCCTCTCAAGTAGCTAGGATTACAGGTGTGTGAGTCACCAGCACTGGCTAGGGAATATTATTCTTATTGGCAATACTTGGGTTTTAACTCAGTGCCTTGCACTTGCTCAGCTTGCTTGTTTTGTTGATACTCTACCATTTGAGCCATGCCTCGAACCCTATTTTTTGCTTATTATTTTGGAGGTAATCTCTTGTAGACTTTTCTGTCCAGACTGACTTTGAACCACAGTCCTCCAGGTCTCAACCTCCCCAGTAACTGGGATTACAGGTGTTAGGCACCTACACCTAGTGAAAGTATTTTTTTTGAGCAATTGCAAGTTGGCTTAAATACTTTATATTGACTTACCACATGTTTTTCTGTATGTTTGTGTTTTGATTCTGGAGATGCATGGTATTTTGGAGCATTTTTTCCCATCTCACCTAAAATCCTGAAGGATTTCCTTTCAGTAAGAGTCTGTCTTGTATGTATTCAGTGCCCATCACACAAAATCTACTGTTTCCTTGAAGTCTTGAACCCTCTGCTTTTTCTACATCTTTTCTGTTCATTGGTTTAACAGATAGCAAAACAAGGTAACTTCCCACTGTTTGAAAACACTACATTGGACTGAAAGTGTAGAAAGTTCTGCTATGTTCTTTCTTTTTCTTTTTGAATTAAGTGATTTTATTAAAAAAGCAAACCAGTTGTCTAGTTACATTTCTCTCCCCTCCAAAACCCAAATGAATTCCATAGTAACTTAATCTCTAGGCAATGTATTTAAAGTTGAGAAGATTAAAAATTAGTTGAAATAGAGTCCTCAGGTCCAATTAAGAGCCCTGATTCATACATACCAGTTGTTCTTTTCCAGTTGTTGGAGTTAGAGAAATTAGCAACTTTAGTAAGTGGGGACATCTGGTTGAATTAGCCCAGGGGATAGGAAATGAAATATCTGATAATGAAAAGAGGAAGAATGAGAGAAGAGGGCACATAGACAACACATTTTGGTCCTTTCTGGATTTACTTGTGCGAAAACAATATTTTTTTGAAGGTGCTGGGTTTTGCACATGTGAGCAAGTGCTCCACCACTGGGCTATCCTTCAATCCCTAGAAAACAATTCTGCTGGTTGCATGGCTTAGCAGTAAAGCCACCTATCTGGCAAGCGTGAACCCCCAAGTTCAAACTCCAGTACTCCAAAAATAAGTTAAAAAACAGAATAAAAAGTAATTCTTTATTCTGGAAACTTGGAGATTGTTCATGTACCTTCATATTTATTGCATCTTATAGTCAGGTAGGGCATCTGATGTCTTTTGCTATAGGAGCCCTGTTTAACTTCAAATGTGTGCTGAAGGCAAGTTTGAGGATATAAACCTCAACATAAACTTGCCTCTGCCTTCAAAATATATTCCAGAAACAATCACTTCTTACCATTCAGTGCTGCTACCACCATCATCTCAATTACCTGGTAGCCTACCTAGTCTCTTCCTGTCCCCTTGTCTATCAGTGTGTTCTCAATGCACCTGTTAGAACATGACTCAAATTATTCTGGTTCTCTACACAGAGCTCTCACCTCTGCCATTACATTTGCAGAACAAGTCAGGCTCTAAAACCCCTCATCACCTCTCCAGTGTCTACATAGTCTCTTTCATACTCTTCTGGCCACATCAAAATCCTCTTTCCGTCCTCTAACTTGTATTAACATGGATGTGCATATATGACGTCCACAGTATCAGGCAGAGAGAAGGCACTTAAATAATGATGATTCTCTGTATATTTTTGAGTCTCTGACAAAAGAAATTATGTAAATTTTCTTGGAAAGGAATTTTCCTGAAATAAAGCAGTCTGTTTCACCACAACCATCATTCCTCCTCTGTTCATTTTATTTTCCCAGTGCTGACAGCAGCAGTAGAGAGAAACCTAAGGAAGAGCATAACTACATGAGGATTGTAATGGGTCTTCTTGAGCTCTTGTTTTAAGGGTCTGATCATCCTTAGAGTATAAGAACTCTACTTTGAACAAGGTACAGTGGCCTACATCTGTAATCTTAGCAACTTGGTAGGCTGTCATTGGTTTAATGCCAGCCTGGAAAAAAAAGGTTGCAAAACCCTATGTTCCACAGAAAAAGCTGAGCTTAGTGGTTTATAGCTTCATTTCAGTTACAATGGCCAGCATAAACAGGAGTATGGTAGTTCAGACTTGCCCCCAGCAAAATCAGAATAACAAATGATCAGTTAATCTTGAATTGAAGTCATGTTTTAAGTTTTATATACTTTTAGTTTAGATTTTTCCCCCTAGGTAAATATTGTTTGATTTTTACAGATTAAATCAGTAAAACATATATTTTCCTTATATTGTGTGAAACATATTGCCTAATTGGTAAAAACCACTTGTATATGAATAAAGCCCAAATATATCAGTAAAAAGAAAATTATGAATAAGTAGGTAGATACCAGAGCAAAAAGGGTTTTGGGGTATGTGGCTCAAGTTGGTAGACTGCCTAAGCACAGAGCTCAAGTATAAACCCTAGTAACATCAATGAAACATGAAGACAAACACAACCAAATCAAAAAGAAAAGAAAACATTCTTGTAGTGTCATTCTTGTTTTAAAGTGTTTTACATTTTTGGAGGTTTCTCATACAGAATGGTGGAATCCGTGTTTCCTCCTCTTGATTCTTGGCCAGCCCTTAGTGAACCTAGAGACTCCCTAACAGGTATAAGTGACTGCAGTAAATGAGACTGGACAGGTGTCCTGTAGGTTATATCTGGTTTTCTGTTGGAGCCAGTTGTTTGAGACCACTAGGTGTCAAGCTAAGCTGAGTTCTCAACAGAGCACCACCACCCCTCCTTGTGACTATACCATCATGGGCCCCGCCCAGTCTTATGACTGCACCATCTATGACATCGTTCAGCTTGGGAGTGTACCATCAGTGACACTGTCTAGCCTGGTGGGTGTACCATCTCAGATATCCAGCCTTGCAGTATATCATCATGGACACTGGCCAGACTTGAGTGGTACCATTGAGGACACCGACCAGCCTTGTGAGTATATCATCATGGACGCTGACCAGCCTTGTGAGTGTACCATCTTGGAGACTGAGCAGTATTGTGAGTGTACCATCGACACCCTCCAACCTTGTGAGTCTGCCATTGTGTACTCCAGTAATTCTTGTGAGTCTGCGTCTCTGTACTCCAGCCGCTCTTGTGAATCTAACATTTTGTATACCAGCCGCTCTTGTGAGTCTGCTATTGTGGATACCACCCAGCCGTATGGCTGTACCATCTGCAGTATCACCCAGCCTTGTGCGTGTACCATTGTGGACCAGCCTTGTGAGTGTACCCTTGTGAAAACCACAAAGTCTTGTGAGTACGCTGCTAGGGATACCTCCCAGCCTCGTGAGTATACCATTGTGAAATCCAGCAAGTCTTCTGAGTCTACTATTGATGATATCTCCCAGCCTTGTGAGTGCTCCTCCTGTTTTACTAGCCAACCTTGTAAGTGTAGTTCTAAGTATTCTTCCCAGACTCGTGATTGTACCATCTTGACACCTATCAAGCCTCCTGAGTGTACCATTGGGGATACCTCCCAGCCTTGTGAATGTCCCATCTGTTTCACCACCCAGCCTTGTAAGTGTACCTCTAAGTATGCCTCTGAGACTCGTGAGTGTACCATCGTGAAACCCATCACGGTTTCTAAAGATGCCTCCCAGCCTTGTGAGTGTCCCGTCTGTTTGACCACCCAGCCTTGTATGTGCACTTCTAAGTATGCCTCTGAGACTAGTGAGTATACCATCGTGACACCCGTCCCGCTTTCTACGTGTGCCACTAAGGATGCCTCCCAGCCTTGTGAGTGTCCCGTCTGTCTGACCACTCAGCCTTGTAAGTGCACTTCTAAGTATGCCTCTGAGACTAGTGAGTATACCATCGTGACACCCGTCCCGCTTTCTACGTGTGCCACTAAGGATGCCTCCCAGCCTTGTGAGTGTCCCGTCTGTCTGACCACTCAGCCTTGTAAGTGCACTTCTAAGTATGCCTCTGAGACTAGTGAGTATACCATGGTGACACCCATCCCGCTTTCTACGTGTGCCACTAAGGATGCCTCCCAGCCTTGTGAGTGTCCCGTCTGTCTGACCACTCAGCCTTGTAAGTGCACCTCTAAGTATGCATCTGAGACTAGTGAGTATACCATCGTGACACCCATCCCGCTTTCAACGTGTGCCACTAAGGATGCCTCCCAGCCTTGTGAGTGTCCCGTCTGTTTGACCACTCAGCCTTGTATGTGCACCTCTAAGTATGCATCTGAGACTAGTGAGTATACCATCGTGACACCCATCCCGCTTTCTACGTGTGCTACTAAGGATGCCTCCCAGCCTTGTGAGTGTCCCGTCTGTCTGACCACTCAGCCTTGTAAGTGCACTTCTAAGTATGCATCTGAGACTAGTGAGTATACCATCGTGACACCCATCAAGCTTTCTGAGTGTACGAAAGATGCCTCCCAGCCTTGTGAGTGTCCCGTCTGTCTGACCACTCAGCCTTGTAAGTGCACCTCTAAGTATGCCTCTGAGACTAGTGAGTATACCATTGTGACACCCATCAAGCTTTCTGAGTATACTAAAGAAACCTCCCAGCTTTGTGAGTGTCCCGTCTGTTTGACCACACTGCCTTGTAAGTGCACCTCTAAGTTTGCCTCCGAGACTCGTGAGTTTACCATGGTGACACCCATCCCGCTTTCTACATGTGCCACTAAGGATGCCTCCCAGCCTTGTGAGTGTCCCGTCTGTCTGACCACCCAGCCTTGTAAGTGCACCTCTAAGTATACCACTGAGACTAGTGAGTATACCATCGTGACACCCATCTCATTTTCTACACGTACCACTAAAGAAACCACCCAGTCTTGTGAGTGTCCTGTCTGTTTCACCACCTTGCCTTGTAAGTGTACTTCTAAGTATACCTCTGAGACTCGTGAGATTACCATCGTGAAACCCATTGCATTTTCTGAGTGTACCACCGAAGATACCGCCAAGCTTCGTGAGTGTCCCTACTGTTTCACATCCCAGCCTTGTGAATGTAGCATCATGAAACTCATCAAGCCTTGTGAGTATAGCCTTAAGGATCACTGCCAGTCTTGTGAATGTACCGTCATGAGACCCATTAAGCCTTGTGTGTGTACCATTAAGGATCCCTCCCAGCCTTGTAAGTGTTCTGTCGTGAAACCCATCAAGCCTTGTGAATGTACTATTAAGGACCCTTCTCAGACTTGTAAGTGTGGCGTCACGAAACCCTGTGAGTGCAGCACTAAGGATCCCTCCCAGCCTTGTAAGTGTACCTTCTGTAACATCGTGAAACTCATCAAGGATTCTGAGTGTGCCACTAAGGATTCCTCCCAATCTTCTGAGTGCACCATCTGTGGCACCATTCAGCCTTGTGTGTGTACCACTACGGATCCCTCCCAGCCTTGTAAGTGCACCATCTGTGGTGCCATTCAGCCTTGTAAGTGTGTCATTAAGGATCCCTGCCAGCCTTGTAAGTGCACCATCTGTGACACCGTTCAGCCTTGTAAATGTGTCATTAAGGATCCCTGCCAGCCTTGTAAGTGCACCATCTGTGACACCGTTCAGCCTTGTAAGTGTGTCATTAATGATCCCTGCCA